ACGGCTTGTAGGCAGGAGGCCAAAGGCATTTTGACGTGTGTTTTAATACACGCTGTTCACATTCCCCCTCTCCCTCCCCCCCCCTTAAAAATGCACTGTGGGTTTCTCCGGCCTAGAATAAAAACCGAATGTACCTGGATATTTGAATTTATAATTGCCTAATAATGAAAAGGTTTTTTCTTGGGTCGGATGACAGACAACCTGTTCGCTTCAATAGGAGGCAGAACAAATAAGACTTAAGCAAACTCGCTTGTTGCCACTCTAAATGTTTCATGCTGTTCTCTAATGGAATCCTTGCCTTGGTGTAATAGTCTACTTAGAGAGAGAGTAAAGTACATCCTGTTTGCAAGGCAATTAAGAGACCCAATGAGAGAGAGTGAGAGTAGATCCAGAGTAGCACTGACATAAGTTATTGCTCCCTTGGCTAGTAAGAAACTGTAATTGTAGTGTAAATAGCTCACTCAGCTGTGCCTTGTACATGGACGCATCGGCACCTGGTTAGCTCCAGCTTTCTACTGAGGGGTAAAAGAATTACGTGAGTCATGGATATTGGCGCGGAAACACCTATTCGGTCATCTTGTCTATTCCCTTCCCTCAGTTGCTTCTGAAGTTGGGCAGGAAGGGAATTTCCACACACACACTGTAGAAGATATTAATCTTCTGGTCATTGAAGTCGAGCACTGGGTCTGATCCTCCACTCATTTAAAGCACTGTAACTCCAGTGATTTCAGTAGAGCTGCTCCTGATTCTTGCTAGTGTGAGAGGAGACTTGGATTCATGGGGTGAAATCCTGGCCGCACTGAAGTTAATGGAAGGTTTATCACTGCCTTCCATGGGGATAAGATTTCATCATGTGTCTTAAAAGTCGTATTGGGCATGTTGACCTGGGGTCTGTCTGATCCAGCTCCCACTGAAGTTAATGGCAGGTTTCAGAGTAGCAGCCATGTTAGTCTGTATCCGCAAAAAGAAGAACAGGAGTACTTGTGGCACCTTAGAGACTAACAAATTTATTAGAGCATAAGCTTTCGTGGACTACAGCCCACTCTTTTTCTCCCCAGGACTTGGGTCAGGCTTTAGCAGAAGAGACCACTTGGTAGACTCTTTCCCATTGAAGAATCAAGCAGGAATAGCTTTTGGGTTGGGTGTGTGGGAGAGAGGACTTGAATACACCAAATGGATATAACTGGTGGGTATGCCTCTGTTGATACAACTTTTCTAATTTTGCCAGAGACCTTAGAGAAGGTAGAACGTAAAGTTCATTCATTTTACCCCAAAATAGTGGTCTCACCTCTCAGCAAACGTTAAATAGCACAATGCTGTAACAAGGGCTCATCTTCCTAGGATGCCATGATTTCTACAGAAGTGGGCTACACCCCATTTCTCTATCATAGAATCAGAAATGCTTAATCACTTAGATTGTAAGCTCTATAGGGCAGGGACTGTCTTCTTGTTCTCTTTGAACAGTGTCTATCACGGAGAGGGGTGGGGGTCCACGGCCATGATTGGGGGCTCCTATGTGCTACTGCCAGGCAGATAATAGTAAATGTCTGGCCAGATCATATTTTTGAGGTATCTTCCTTTCTTCTCTGAATCCATTTTGCAAATTGGCAAGTAATTCACAATGGGTCTCCCAGTCTCTGATGTGAATTAGCAAAGAGCCATTGACAAGGGAGAAGAACTGACCTGAGAGAAGATGAAAGTAGGTGTGAACTTCTAGGAAATGGCTGGCAAAAGTTTCCAAGGCTGCAGAGGAGGCACAGAGGAAGGATCAAAGGTCAAGTGGCAAAGATGACACCACAAGGGTGTTGCGTTTTTATTAGAGAGCGAAGGAAGAGGTGACAATGGCATGCACTGGAGACAGTAAAGGTTGAAACCATGAGAAGTTGAGATAAAGGCAAAGTCTTGAAAAATAGTATCTGACATTTTAAGCTGGGGGGGGGGTTATAAAGGAATGAGGAACAGAATAGCTACAATGTAGCTAAATCATTGTTTGGGGGGGACACGTTGCCGTTGCAGATCTCCTGAAATCCTTCTTGGAAGGGCGTAAAGAGAGAGTGGACCTGGGACTTGTGATTCCAGGCAATGACGTGGGGAAACAATAGGAATAATCAGCCCTTCTGTCTGCTAGAACGTGACTGCCGCAGACCTGTGGGATGCCAGCCTGCTCAGTTTTATAATCCCCAGAGGTGTGTAGCTAAAGCTTTTAATCAGCTCTTTCTGGAAACCGCATCGCTGTAGCTACTACCGTTCTGTGGCAAAGCCGTTAACAGATACAGTAATGGAAAGTCCTGGCAAGTCCTGTGAAACAGGGACGAGCCTCCTGGCTCCCTTCGTCCTTCAGCTGTGAAGATGGCAAGCGTGGTGTGAGGGAGAAGCAGGGAAGCTGCAGAGAGCTTCACTGCTAGGTCCCTGGTTAGAATCCTAATCCAGACCAACAGCTGTTGCACGTAGTTACCTGATGGCTGTCCAGTGGCCTATGTGAAATGAGTAGCTTGTCCCTGTAGGGATTTTGAAGTGGGTATCTACCCATCACACGGGGTGTCCTTGTTGGCAGTCAGGTCAAGAAGAGTGACCCAGCCTCTGGTTTCTAGAAGGGGCCCTTCAAAACCTTATTTGAGGCCCAATTGTGAAGGCTGTTTGGGGGGGATTGATGGGTGAAAACTCAGACTTGTGCCGGTCTGGCTTTTGGCCAAGAGGACTTTGTTTTCCCAGGCTGTTGGATTGATGCAGATTTGTTTCCCAAGCTGGAAAATTCAGTGGTTGGTGGCAAAGCACAAAGAGCTGTAACTGAGGGCTGTGTAGCTAAATACCTGATCTCTAATGCAGTCAGATACTTTCACTATTGAGTAGCGTCAGGTATCCTGGGATTGTTCCGTGCATCAACAAGCACACCTGTCCTGGTCTTCGGAGGGATACTGGTGATCATTTCAACTGGTTATGCAGTTTAAATTGTTAAACCTTCTTCGGCAAGATTTTAAGTTTGTTAGTTTGTCTACGGTGCTTCAGATGCTCTTTAATTCTCTCCTCCTCTTGTCTTTCAGGTTCAGCAATGCCTCTATCAGCCTGGTTCAGCCTGCTGCTTCTCTGTCTTTGTATTGGTACTACCAGGACCTGCTCCCCAGGATGTCACTGTGAAGTGGAGAGTTTTGGTCTCTTTGACAGCTTTAGCCTGACCAAGGTGGATTGCAGTGGAATAGGGTCACACATTGTTCCTGTCCCTATCCCGCTGGATACTTCCTATTTGGATCTGTCCTCAAACAAACTGGAAACCATCAACGAGTCAGTGCTGACCGGCCCTGGTTATACCACCTTGGTGAGCCTTGACCTGAGCTATAATAAAATTGCTAAGATCTCTTCCACGACCTTCTCTAGACTCAGGTATCTGGAATCCTTGGATCTGAGTCATAATTCTTTGGCAGTCCTTCCAGATGAATGCTTCCCCAGTTCACCCCTGGGGGACATAGATTTGAGCAACAACAACCTCCTGGATATAACATTAGATGTCTTTGCTTCCAAAGGTCAAGGGAAACCCATTAATGTGGATCTGTCCAACAACATGATAAGCGCAGTCACAAGACACAATGACAAAAACATCCCCAACATCCAGAGCTTAAATCTGTCTGGAAACAGACTGAAGACTGTGCCCAACCTCCAAGGGATTCCCCTGCGATACTTAAATCTCGATGGGAACCCTCTGGCCAAGATTGAGAAAGGAGCTTTCGTGGGCCTGAAGGATTTAATTCATTTATCTCTCAGCAGCTTACATGGCTTTAGAGAGATCTCTCCTTACAGCTTCAAAGAACTACCCAACCTCCAGGTACTCGATTTATCCAGCAACCCCAACCTTAAGTTGTTGAGTGCCGAAGTAGTCTTTGGTCTAAGCTCCTTGCAAGAGCTCAACCTGTCCAGTACAAGTGTTTCCTTCTTGCCAAAGACTGTGCTGAAATACTTACCTACCATCAAAAGTATTACCTTGGGGAAGAATGTACAGTGTCTTAAGGTGATCAAGGAAGGACAGTATCACCAACAAATTGGGCTGACCAAAAAAGAGGTCCTCAGTTGTCATGACAGCCATGGGTCCGTAGCAGCAGCACCCTATGTCTTGTGATGGAAGTTGAGGGGAAAGGGCTGAGGGAGATTGTACAGCTGTCTGGACTGAAATGACCTGCCGCGTGCCTTTCGTTAATAATTTATACGTTTGTATATGCCAATACTTGACGGTGTGTGTCTTTACATTCCGTATTGCTGCCCACTGTTTTCTGCCTCTTGATTCCTGCAAGCATTTGCAAGTGATAGGTGCGACATGGCTGCCCCAAACGGTGTTCGCTGTGAATGGGGAGCAAGTGGGGTCGCTGTTTTGAATTTCTGAGGAAGGACAGAATATCTGGGGAGAAAATGCATTCAGCCCAGGCTTATTTGCAGGAGCAAAGCGAGCCCTGTCTACGGCATGCACCAAAATGTGTTAATTCCGCAGTCATTTGCTTACAAATCCATGCTTTATCTATTTTGTTTTTCCCAAGAAGTGCCTTCCAGATGTTGCCTTCATTAGCAGTGCCCTGCTCATTGTTATGCACTTTCAGTCTGAAGAAACCGTACTGAGCAAACCTGAGTACAGGGTGTTTCTAATGCTTGGCTGCTGTTTGCATAAAAGTGCAATGAACACTTGGTACCTGGGGACCATTTTCCCCCACCTCACCCCGATCCTTTCCGCACAGGATTGCATTAGATCCTCCACTGGAAATCCCAGGGGCCTTCTGATGCAGATGTGTTGAACCTTAGTGGTCTGTCAAAGACCGAATGTTCAAACTCAGCGCTGTGCCATTCGAAGGACTGAAGGCTGTTCCCGTGGACCCAGCCCCCCGGGTGCTGGGCAGACAGCTGAACAGAGCCCACTTGCAATAAGGGCAGGTTGTCTCGGAGTCAGACTCTAGCAGGGTAAATTAGATTGAGCTGTGAAATGGAAAGCGCATGTAAACTAAATTAAAAACTCCCTCCCTTTCTAGGGCATTTAAAGAATGCTCAATGAGGCTCCTTATCTTGATAACCTCATCAAACCAAGACTTAAGCCCATGGGACTGAGAAGAAGCTGTCTCCTCTCTGACTTCCCCGGCCTAATCAGAACATGTGTGACGCAGCTGTGCTGTTAAATGCAATTTCATGCCAGAAAATGTGTTCAGAAGGTGGGGGGAGGGGAGGAGGGAGACCGCTCCAGCCCCAAAGCCTGGGGCTACTGACCCCCGCTGTTTAATAGAATAAGGTAGTAGCACGCTTGCCTATCTGGGAAAGGATCCTTTTCAGGGCCTGCTGCTCTGTGTCATTCTTTCCACTCTCATGCTTGGCTTCTTGGCAGCTAACCGAAGCCTTGTGAACACAGAGCAGTTTGAGTCGGCTTCGCCCAATTGCCGGCATGCTGAATTTGGCAGAGGGAGAACAAAGCAGGAGCAAAGGGAGTGGGAATGGCAGATGCCTCAGGCAATGAGGGGGGAACAACACACGAGAACTGGCGGTAAGGGAGCGAGATGCACAGCTCGAACAAATGGGGGGGGAAGGAAGATGCTCCAAGAGAACCAAGTGCCCACTCTGTGAATTCAATGGGGAATTTTGAGCCACGTCTCCAGAGAAACTCAGCCTGGATGGAGCTGTTTGCTTACCCCAGACCTGAATCTGGCCCACTCTTCCTTGGTATGGGGAGGGCAGAGGGAGACAGCATGGGCAAAGTCTGCTCTCAGCCGCAGCAGTCGAAGAGCTTGTCTACACACACAGTTGCCCCAGTTTCACTAAAGGAATTATTTTTCTTTTTAAACCGATTTAGTTGAGCCCATGCAAAAAGCTGTGTGGATGCTCTTATTTTTGTTTACAGCAGGCTTTTTTTAGCTTAGTTTAAGTCCATCAGGAACAGGTTTAAACTAAACAGCAATAAGCCACTCTTAAGCCAGAATCAGTGTGTCCACATAGGAGTTTGCACCGGATTAACTAAACCAGTGCAAATAGGTGTGCAGATGACCCCTGAGTTTATTGAAGTCTGACTTGAATCAGTGCAACAGTTATTAGAATCTGGCCTATTCTGTAGCCAGGCACCGAAGGTGGCTGTAGACAAGAAGGAAAATGTGAAAGACAGGGAGTACACTAGCAGATTCTGCAGGGGATCTCGGGTAAATGCAGTATCCTCAAGAAGTGGGCATGGGAAGAAGACTGTTAGAGGTAGGTTAAGATACATCTGGTCACATATGTAATTGTTGAGTAGATTCCAACCTATGTTAGAGGAGGAGGGGTGAAAATCTAGTATACTTCATGGTGGAACAGCTTGCATTCTGAATCCAAGACACTGCAGTATCCGTGGAATCCAGAAAGAGTTGTATCTTCTCAGCTACATCCTCGAGAGTATTTTACTAATTGAAGTTACACTGCCCCACACCAGCTATCTGTGGTGATGGTAGAAAACTTTTGAGCAAATCAAAGCCAGTCACTGTCTTGGAAGGGCCAGATTCCCAGCTGGTGCAATACGCTGACCTACAGCAGCTAGGATCTGGCTTTGGATTTCCAAGTAGCTTCTCCAGTGGCTTGATCCTGTATCTTCTTATTGAAATTAAATACACCTCCACCCCGATATAACGCTGTCCTCGGGAGCCAAAAAATCTTACTGCGTTATAGGTGAAACGGCGTTATAGCGAACTTGCTTTGATCCGCCAGAGCGTGCAGCCCCACCTCCCCAGAGCGTTGCTTTACCGCGTTATATCCGAATTCCTGTTATATCAGGTTGCGTTATATCGGGGTAGAGGTGTACTTTAAAAATCTTTTTTCCCTTCACTGAGCCTTTTAAATGCTCGGCTTGTCTTTGGTTTTGCAAGATTTTTCTTAAAAGGCAACAATATTGTCTTAGACGGGATGTGATTCTATAAAATCAGGAGGGAAATAATGAACAAATAGTAATACACCATGGTCTTGGGTTGGTTTGGGGTTTTTTCTTTCCTAATGGAGCCTGCCTTTTTAAGAGAATTTTTCTGCTGGCAGAAAACTTAATTTTTAAAATTATATATTTGTTTAATTTTATAGTTCTGTACTTAGATGAAATGTTCGGGGGATAATATACAGGCTGTAGAAGTTACTGCCTTTGCACCACTGTGGTAAATTTAATACCCAATGTGACAATCCAATTGAAGACTGCAAGATTTACTCTTGTAATCTCATGGTAGCCGCTAGCTAAATGAGTCTTATGAAGGGCTGGTAAATACCTTCTCTGTGTACTTTTTTTTTTAGACACTCTGCAGCATTGTAATGCTTTGTGATTATTCACAATATAATAAAGTAATTTGGTGGAAACAAAAACAGCTCCTGGGTTTATTTCTCAGATGCAGCAAACTGCTTGGAGAGTGAAAACCGGTCACTAGTTACCATAGGCGCTGGCTCCAGGGCTGGAGCACCCATGGGGAAAAATTGGTGGGTGCTCTGCACCCACCGGCAACTCCCTGCCCCCCCTGCCCCAGCTCACTTCCTGCTCCGCCTCCTTCCCTGAGCACGCTACCGCGTCCTGCTTCTCCCCACTCCCTCCCAGCACTTGCGCCGCAAAACAGGTGTTTCATGCGGCAAGCACTGGGAGGGAGGGGGGAGGAGGAGGAACACGGCGTGCTTGGGGAAGAGGCGGGGCCGGGGCAGGGATTTGGGGAGGGGTCTAATAGGGGCGGGGCGGAGGGGTGCAAGCACACACCAGCGCCAAGGAAAGTTGGCGTCTGTGCTGGTTACAAAGCACAAGCTTCCGCCTACCTCCACCCCAGCTGTAGCTGCATATTTCTCGTGCTCCATTTAACCATGCCCAAGTCAGTGGTATTGCAGTGGGCTTGCAGGTGCAGAACTCAGCCCATTGTATTTGACTTGGCCCTCTTGCTGGAAAGTGGTTAGTGACCACGACTTCCCTCTGCTATGGCAGGGGTGCAGCAGAGCAGCTCGCTGCAAGGAATACTCGAAAGAGGCTTTGGCCACACAGCAATGGGGGATTCTTGCAGAGTGAATTTCCTGGTCCAAAACTCCTGGAAGAGACTCTCATTAACTTCAATGGGCTTTGGATCAGGACTCTATTAAGATGATGAGCAAATTGGAAATGTGGAGGAGGGGTGGGAAGGGGTTGGGTTTAATGGCCGGCCAGATCCTTGACCCATTAGTACGGTTATGCCAAGGACCTCAGTCTACTGTAGCACAACAATGGTGGAGACTCAACTACACTTTGGATGAGTCATGCTTTTAGCAAATCTAAACACTGGCATGTGTGCAAACCACACGGAGCAGTGTTGGGCGTGCCCATGAGCTGCTCTACAAGAGCGCGAGGGGGATCAGAGGGTTCTAGTAGAAGCAAGATCTTCTCTGCAGCCCAGTTCCCCAGCTGTGAAATACAGGTGATTGTTACCTTATCAGCACTGCCCCGGGAAGTAAATGCAACTGTTTGTGGTCCTCTGACGCTGCAGTGCAGGAAAGCCTATAAGTAAAAAATAGGAACGTAGCTGGGTTGGTTTTTTCCCTTAGTGCTTTGCTGAGTCCTGCAGAGAAAGTCTCCTATTGTTTACTTTGAGCGTTTACAGTGATATGGTAGTAAAACAAAGATTCTATCTAAAGCAGTGCAAACAAATCCACTGAGCATGCTAGCCTCTGAGAATCTACAAAGATCCCTTTCACACTAATCCCCCAGAAACAACTGAAATCAGCAGTTGCCCTGTCCAATTTTTTTATACCGTTCACATGCCAGGGATTCTACCACATCTCTTGGGGAAGTTATTCCACAGTTTAATAGATCTGGAAGTTGGGAAATCTTTCCTGACATTGAGCCTAAAGTTTCCGTTTCTTAATCTTGTCCCGTTATTGACTAGTATCGCCCTAAACTTCGCCATTTGTGGTGTTTGCACCCTCTAGACATCGTTGGAAGTTTCTTTTGCCCTCCCCCCCCACCACACACACTCTCGCAGCTCTTCTTTGAACAACCTCCAGCTTCGTCCACAGCTAATGAGTTGCATGAAAAGGAACGCAGTATTCCAAAGGCAGTCAGATGGGAGCCTTAAAAAAAGGAACTATTATGCCCCTGTCTGTGATGGGCCGTATCTGCAGCTCAAAATTACACTGGCTATGTATTTTTAATGGCCACATCACAGTACAAACTCAGCCCTGCTTGCCATCCAGTCTTGCCCCCTAGTGTTTTTCTCATGGTTACGGGTTTCTCCTTCTTGCTGACTCCCAGTGGTTGGGGGTATATTAACCCTTCCCCAACCCCACTTCCTCCTTAGATGCATTAGCTTGCAATTTTCTTATATTCAATTTGCTTTATTTCATACCCGTAAGGCTGGACTCTGTCTCTTTGCATTTTTCTGCCCTCTCTGGTGTTTGCAGCGGCACCAGCTTGATTTCACCTGTGAATTTGGCCAGTGGAGCTATTTTATTTAAACAGTATGGGCAAGGCTATCTGAATGAGAGCCACTGCGTCAAGCTTAAATATCAGTGTCCCACACAGCTACGAATGGATAAGTGTCCTGAAGAGCATCATATAGATTGTCTCTACTGTAACTTGACACCTTCAATGTGCTACAAATACTCATGCTTAAGGAACTAGCCTATGGTGACTATGGCCTGGTCTACACTGGCGGGGGGGGGAGGGGGAGGGAAGGATCGATCTAAGATATGCAACTTCAGCTACGAGAATAGCGTAGCTGAAGTCGACGTATCTTAGATCGATTTAGAATCACTTCGTGTCCTTGCGGTGTGGGATCGACGGCCGCCGCTCCCCCGTCGACTCCGCTTCCGCCTCTCGCCGTGGTGGAGGTCCGGAGTCGACAATACTAAGAGGCAGTAATATTCAGTGCATGAAACTGCTGGGTCTTTAATAGCGTGTTTTACAGGCAGATAGTGAGAAAAAATCCTGCCGTGAAGAGCTTACAATCTGACTACACATGATACAAAGTATAGGAGATGATGCAGTTATTCTAATAAAGACTCTGTGTTGGGTGCCCTGGTATTTTAACGATATAGCATGACCAGTTAGACTGTAGACTTGCACGAGGCAACACGGTGGCTGCTTTATGTAGAGAACGGAAGCATTTTTAGAAACAGGAACACCTCCGACTTGACTCCAACACTAGGATATTTAGGTTAGTGTGAGGTTAGCAGAAGTGGCAGCACTGCTACTGTCTTGACAATTCGTTACACCCGGTTGGAATCTTCTTTCAGTTTAGTGCCATTTGTCTAGCTTGCAGGAGAAAGTGGTTCCTCCTAGAATTTAAGGCCAGCAGGGACCATCGTGATCATCTACTCTGACCTCCTACAGGTCCCAGAACCTCACCCTCCCACTGCTGTAATAGACTCAGAACTTCT